AAATTTAAAAAGAAAAAAAAATATCCCAGTAATGCTGCGACCATGCTCTTGTTTCTCTATTATTAAAGCAAGTTGCAGTGAAAAGAGAGACAGAACATGTCTGCACAAAATGATCAACTTCTTTATCACATCATCAAAACAATAGGATTTCATTTAAAAAAATAATAATGTGAGAAACAAGATTTAATCATTGTCTTTCTCTTTAGCTCTTCTTTGCAGAGACCCTTTGGACTATAACTTTTTATTTAGCTTTTCCTAAAAAGAAAAATGAGATGCTATCTTATAAAAATAGGGCCTTCTTTCGCCTAGCATTTACCAAGCAGATTAAGTGATCTTGTGTTTTTACCATGATGCATTTTTAATGGCCATTGCAACATAAATGTGCTGAAAGCTACATTAAAATCTAAATGCTTTTCCTTCAAAATCCATTGATTTGACTTTTTTCCTCTTTTGATGAAGTAGTTCTTGCAGAGGATTATTAAATCTTTGTTCCTTTACTGGGAGGCATTTGGGGAAGGGGATATGCTTTTTGTCTTCCTCCCTTGCAGATTCTCCAGTTACCTTCCAAATGGTTAAAATGAAAGCCCATGTATGCGTGAGGTTTCTTTTGTCTTTAAAAGAGGGGAAAAAACAACCCCAAATAAGATGATTACCAGTGAATTACTTAGATCAGGCCCTAGAAATGATTCTGTTTCACTTTACGTTTATATACCTCACATGCCTCATGGTGTCCTGTTGAGTACCAGCTTCCACAGGGCTGTTTGATAGGCATAAACATATATATGTACAGTATGTTTGTTGGTTGAGATATGATCAGCCCAAGCCAAGTAGCTGAGAGCAGCATGCTATGAATAGTTCCAGTGTAGCATTCCAAGAGAATGAGGCAGAGGGGTCTGGTCTTTTGAACTTCACAGAGGATGTTTGTTTTCATTGCCTTCAACAAGAGATGAGTAGCTCCTAAAGGACTGGTATCCTGCAAATCCTATTTAGGTTAAGCCTTTTACATAGCTACACTCTCATTCCAAATGCCCTGCCTGGTAAAGGAATGCCCATTGACATCAACAAAACTTTTTGTATTTATTTAGAAATTAGACTCTCACACAACAGAGATTAACATATTTATTTGGGATTTACTGTCATGTTAGAAGGTTTGCAGATTTAGGGTCATATCTACCATGTACATAGGAAAACACCCACACAGCTAAGAATACATTTGCTTGAACTTTAATGCAATTCTGTCTCTATTATCTCATGCCACTTTAATTCAGTGGAGATACTCAACAGATACAGCCAATACCGATGCCCTTCTTACCAAGTAGTAAATTTGATGTGGTAGTCTGGATTTTGGAAAATACAGGGATAACATTTTCCCCTTCATATACTTTAGCATATGGAAAAATGAAGTCTTATCCCACGCAATTCTCTACATTTATAAACTGAAAAATTAGTCATTTCCCGAAGTTTTTATTACCTATCTTGTGTGTGTGTGTGTGTGTGTGTGTGTGTGTGTGTG